TAATAATAATAATGTAGATCTAATTAAATATTGTTTTGGGTTACATTTATGCAGATGAAAATGTCAAAGGACTGACATTTAAAGCATAACTTTAGCTCAGCTGCTCGCATGTTCGTTAAAGAGAGTGGAACCAAAGGCACATTGGAGGCTGCAGTGTCCTAATCTCCTCTCCACAGGGTAAAAGTGCCCAGCTGTTTTCAGTAGGTCTCCAAAGCCTCATCTTTGCAGCTCTGCCCTGTAAATTAAAAGCTTACACACCTCTTAATAGTGATGGTGCAACACTCGCGTCAAATAGGAGATTGTGTTTTGCACCTGTGTCTGTTTTGCTTTTGGTAATCAAAACTGTGTCACAAGTTTGACATGCAAACTGTTATTCATACATAATGGCTTGCAGATGCCAACATTGTGCTTTTTATTCAGTACTGAAAATACTCTCCCCTGATGGATTTTTTTTTGTCTACCAGAAAAAGCTTCCATTTGCTGAAGAAAAACTCTAAACTTTTAAGGGAGCTGAAGAACCTGGACTCCAGGCAGTGGTAAGGTTTCATTTTATGTATGTGTCCAGTACAAAAATAAAATTAGGTCTTAAATTAAGTTTTCCTGAGATTCCTATGAGCACTCAATTGTATGTAATTCAGTGCCTTTTTCTGTCATCAAACAGCTTTCTGACATATCTGAGCCTAGGTGAAAGCTTCTTCAAACAGCGTGTGATTCCCCTCTTCTAACCCCATCATTTTCCCCATGCCTGCCCCTGCTAACCACAACCCCTGAAAATCTCTTACCATCACTCCTGTTGTCCTTCCATTACTTTGTCTCTCTTCTCCTAATCAATAAGCACTTCCCACACTGCTGATGACAGGAGCCTATTAAAGAATTGCCCTTAGAATTGAACTTTATTCTTTCAGACAGACTTGGTTGAACAATAACAATCTGTGCACAAGCATGCAAAGTGCCCAAAACCTACCCCGACACAATGTACTGCCATGGCAACAGGGAAGATGGATGGGGAGACTTTGCTGCTCTCTTTTTAAAAATAATGTTAAAGTTGGAGAAATGGTGGAAAAATTTAGCAAATAGGTGTGTGTTTTTTTTCTTTTTATCCTCTCTTCTGATTTTATTCAACAACTTAATTACACTTAACAACGCAGTTTATCTTGATTTGGCAGATGTGGGGGGTTAAATCTTTGAATTTTCATGTCAAAGGAATTTAATTAAAAAGGCTAAAGCAATGTCAGTCTTTTCAAGTTTTGTCGCATTTGTTAAATTACCTTCTATCTTTTATTTATGGCCTTTTTTCTACTTTGTGTTTTATTTTGTAGTCGAGAAACACACAAGATTGCTGTATTCTACATTGGCGAAGGCCAAGAAGACAAATGCTCCATCCTGTCTAACACTGCAGGCAGCCAGGCCTTTGAAGACTTTGTGTCTGGACTGGGATGGGAGGTGCAAATGGCTATAATTTTTAATTCACTGGCWYTTAATCCTCAACCTAAGCATAATTACAGATGAACCTTAAGAATATACTAAAATGTACACTAAACTGTGTCCTTCAGGTGAACCTGGCCACACACTGTGGCTTTATGGGGGGTCTCCAAAGGAATGGCAGCACAGGTCTAACAGCTCCTTACTATGCTACCTCCACTGTGGAAGTTATTTTCCACGTATCCACACGGATGCCGTCTGATTCGGATGATAGCGTTACCAAAAAGGTAAAAAGTTCTGTTTGTGCCTAKGATCTTGCTTTTTGTCTGCCTCACTTGTCTCTAACATTTCACTTGACCTGATGTATGAAACTTTTTACCAGAGTCGTAAAGTAACTAAGTACAAATACTTTGTTACTGTACTTAAGTAGAATTTTTGCACATCTGAACTTTACTTGTTTAATTATTTTTCAGCCTACTTTTTATTTCTACTTCTTACATTTTCACACAATTATCTGTACTTTCTACTTCTTACATTTTTTAAAAAAGGCAAGAAGTAGAAAGTTTTTTTTCTTTTTGTTTCATTTTTTGCATGCCAGCTTGCTATTGTAAAAAAAAAAACCACTATCCATAAAAACTGTGCCGCCTAGTTAGAGTGAATTTAATTGTGGTTGAGTGAAAAGTATAAATATATAAAATTCTGATACCATATTAGTTTGTGCACAAACAAATCATGTCACACTCCAGCAGGATATAATCATTAAAATAAAAGGACTGTACTTAAGAAATATTTGTATTTCATGAATTATGTTATTGTATTTGGCCGCAGCCCTCAGATAGATTTTTATTTTGGGGAAAAGTTTTGTGCAGCCTTGATATATGTATATAAACTGAAACAGCTAGACTAGTGCATCCTAAATTAAACATATTAATTATTTCAATACAATAAAATCATTTCTGCATTGTTTTGGGGAGGTCACCTCCTAATAAATGTCATTACATAAAATCTAACTGCTCATTTTATATCAATACTTTTACTTTTAACACTTAAGTACAAAAAATATCAGATACTTTAAGACTTTTACTCAAGTATTATTCCTAAAGGAGACTTTAACTTTTACCAAAGTAATTTTTTGGTAAGATACTTGTACTTTTACTCAAGTGTCACTTTGTGGTACTTCCTACAACACTGCTTCTKACATACCTTCAATGCTCAGTATTTAAATTAAACAGCGTTGATGCTTCTTTACACATTTGATGCAGTGAAATGGCTACACAGCCATGCCTGCCCCGAGAATGTATTGTGTAGCCTTCAGCTCTGTGTTAAGCTGTGATCAGAAAGTGTGACTCCAGAGTACGGGCATTGATTAGTGACCCTGGTCAGGAAGGCCTGAGGAGTAGAGAATCGTAGGCGCGTGAGTGAAGAGAGGGCATGTGCCGCTGTGGTAATGACTATGATTCTGCCAGCTCTTGCCCCCCTCCCCGTGTGCTGTGACCAGGGCCTAGATTCAGCTATTAGCTCTCCCTGCTAGGGCAGGCGCCGGCCGGATGCCGGCAGGATCCTTTTATCCAATTCCTGCTGCCGCCACAGGAGCAATCGATTGGGTTCTGCAGTGGGATTCTGAGCTGTAGTGCAGCAGTAGCAGTTAGCACGAAGAAATGAGCCGCAAGGCCCCTGCTCGCACTGCCAATCTTCTCATACAGTACCCTGCTGAGAAGGGAAATTCATCAGGCTTTCCTTATATCCAACCACTGAAAAGACTTTTTCCCTCCGTTTTTTTTTTCAAAGTACACTTCTCACTCCAAACCCACCCTGAAGCCACTCTTAAACCCACAAAATTTAGTCTGCGGGAAGAGTTTGACTAAACTTAACCAGAGTGAGGCGCTGGAGGGTGCCCATGCACATGGCAGAGTGAGTTGCCACTTTCAAATATTTCACCAGAAACTTCTGTAATTGCTCAGGCTCACCTTGCTCAGATCCCCACACCAGCCACAAGTCAGACAAAAAAAAAATTGGCAGGCTGGCTTCTGGCGCAAATGCTTTACAAAAAAGACAGGAAGGAAAAAAGAAGAAGAGGAGGTATGAAGAATTGGAACGAGAAGCAGGCTGTGTCTTTGTCTAAGTAGGATGTTTCTCTGTCAATTTAAAAATAACACTTAGTCCAGCAGTCACCCACTTTACCGCCTGTAACCATAGATGCATTCTGTGGGGGAGCGATGGATGGGGCAGCTCTAGCTGAGCGGACTGCCTGTTTGAAGACGATGAAAGGGGGGGAAAATAACTAACCCCAAAAAGAAAAGGGGGAAAAAAACATGAATTCCTGAATCCAATTTTGGGTTTCAGGGCAGTGCAAGCTGCAGCAGTAGCAGCTGGCTTCAGTAATGGGGTTATAGAAGCGACCTGCAGGGTTGGGGGTCAGGCCATGTAGACTTATGTGCATGTGTGTGAAAGAGAGGGAGATAGACGGGTGCCTTAGCTATCRCACTCACCCTCAGGCACTACAGCTTAACTGGGCTGCTGCAGGTTGTTTTTATAAGAAGCCGCTTTTGTTCTGGAGTCCTCTGCTTTTCTGTTTCCATGTGTGTGAAGCCCACTGGTTGGATGGGAGGTCAAAGAGGGATAATTGGACAAGAGTCTTTGACTTGAATCACATTTTATTAAAGAAGTCTCAAACATTTGAATGTGATTAACAAGGGGGTAAATAGATTTGTCCAGAAGATGATTGACTCGAGCACAAGCATCCTCATTAAACTTGTCTTTCAGCTCATCCAAATGCTAATATCTTAACCCAAATTAACATCCCAGTGTTAATTGTCTGCTGCAAATGCATATTCAACATTTTCTCTGAAATTGTCCCAGTGACTGACCTGGTTGGTACCTGCTGATCCTTGGACAGACAGACTGAACTGGCGAGCTTCAATAATCAACACGCCGTGGATTTGTTTAAGATTACCGTATTACCATAATTAAGGGCTTATAATAGAATGTGCTAATTGCATTTTTTGTTGGCGAGGGCATGTTTCTTAATGGCTCATTAGTCCAACAGAACATTGGCAGATGTTTTCTTCTGAGTAGAGGCTCACTTTTCAGTGTCCATGATACCCCAGAAATTTGAAAGGGTGCTTGTTCAACATCACTGGACTACCAGCTAATAGATGATCTTCACTTTCCAGAGAATATAATGTAGCTGTGTTTGTTTGTTTGTTTTTGTGAAGAGTAACTCTATTTACCTTTTTATAATCTAGCATCAGCCAATTTCCTGTCATTTAGGCACRTCTTCTTGTCCTGTCCAGTCTCATTTGTGTTTATGAATAGAGTGGAAATTGGAAGCAATTTAAACTCAGATGGGGTATGGTTAATTGGATTTGAATTACTTTTGAAATGCTCAATTTTGTCTATTTTGTGTTTATTTGAATTTGTAATGAAAAAACTATAAAAAGAGTACAAATAAGAACTTAGCCGCTTTTTAAACTGTTGTTTTCAGACTGGGGATTTTTCTGTGAACAGCCACCTAGTTCTTGCTGCTAATGATGAAATCTAGTTCACTTTTTGAAACACCTTTACTGACAACATTTTTTGTACTTTTTTATTTCCTTTTTTGTGTCTCTGAAGCCTCAGTTAACTCCTCAGTCTTGTAGAGGTGATAAAGGTTTAAGGGGCAGTTTTGATAAAGCCTGTCTGATGCTATAATCCACCTAAATTTGTCTTTCTTTCTTCATCACTATAACAGTGAAAACAACATGCACTTGCAAGGTCCTTCATTAGGACGATTTTGTTTGTTTGGCAGCTGCGTCACCTGGGCAATGATGAGGTGCACATTGTATGGTCTGAACACACCAGGGACTACCGACGTGGCATCATTCCAACTGACTTTGGAGACGTGCTCATTATCATCTACCCAATGAAGAACCACATGTATTTCATCCAGATCATGAAGAAACCTCAGGTAAAATTGTCTAGCTTGTAGTTATATTAGGACTAAATATTTTTCATGGCAGATAATTTGATTAATAATAATAATAATAATAATAATAATAATAATAATAATAAATACATACATACATACATACATATATACATACATACATACATATTTTAGTAGATGTGCAAAACACGAGAGAAGACCAATATTAGATTATTTATTTCTGAAAAATTCCCATTACCAGTGTACATTGAATGCAACAAAATATGGACCTCAGTGTAGTGGAGATAATAAAGCTGAATTCTTTCCTAAACAAAGTGACAGAGCTGCACCTTTTCAACGTTTTTAAGTCAGTAATCACTTCAAAAACTGGACTTCACTATTTCAACAGTTATGTTAAAAATTCCTAATGATTGCAGTATTAAAACAAGAGGAGGCCTAGGCTGCTACACAGATATGGCTTTTTGAAACATGTTTTTTGAGACGTTTTGCATCTCCATTAATTCCAGCTATGCCATTGATGCTGTGACATGTTACATTATAAAAGAAAAACTGCTCCTTGCACACAGTATGATGTGTTAATATCTTGTTCTGTTATATTCACTTGCTCTTGTTTTCTGCTCATATTTCTCTGAATTTATAGAATTTTTTTGCTTTGTTTTTGGTTTTTTGTCTGAAGGCTCTGTCTCCCCACACTCTTCACACTCCACTCCAGTAGTGCATTATTACCCACACTGTGGGTATGTGCTCTCACAAATGGTTACTGCCCTTTGTTGGTTAGCTTTCATCTTGGTTGCTTCATGGTACTGCACTCAATGTGTGGCTTCCAARAGGACATAGAAATTTATAAATTTTTAAGGCCAGTGATGATAGGCTTTAAAATTCCAAATATATCTATGCTTTATACAGGGTTGTTTTTACATGAGCATTATTAAAATATTTCTGTAACAATATTTATATTGTTAGCCTTGTTTTCCGATAAAAATTRGAGGACAAATGGGAATTTAAAGGTAAAGGTTTCTGCCACATTAATGTTGTCTCAGAAGCTAAACATTTTGTAATCAATGATCTACTCAGTGATGATGGCAGATTTATAGAGAATGTATTTATGGATATGACCTAGGTGGGCATATGCAATATTTATTGGTTACATAATCCTTTCCAGTTTATTTCTACTACCAGTATTTATATTTATTGCACCAATTTATTATCTACATGAGTAGTCTTATGTATTTTCCAGGCACATACCGTATTTATTCAAGTATAATACATAAAATTGATTGCATAAAATCATCCATAAAGTTGGGGGGTAGTACTATACTCAGATAAATATTTACTTGTGTATTTTAACTGAAATATCGGCTTCATTCACAAAATGCCTGAGTCCGGAAATGACTCTGAGACCGCGTCGTATTAAAAGCAGTTGAAACAAGCTTACCTCTGATGCTCCTCCGTTCTTCAGAGTGAGATAATAATAACAGATCCAGGCAGGCGACATGATGTGAAAAAGTGGGGGGGGGCGGGGGTATTCCTGCACCTTAGTAATGATGGCGAACTAATGACATTAGCGTGTGACCGGGCCACTCCTCGAACAACAACAAACACATGTTCGTCTGTAATGGCTGCCGTCTACCGGTGTTCTGAAAAAGTTTGTATCCCTGAAAAAACGTTTCCCCACCAGAGGGGGCACTCACAAGTAGGAAGTAATCTGCTTTTCCCCCAGAAGATGGTCCAAATCTCATGTGAAGTCTCTGACTTTTATGTTAGAGCATCCTGGTGGACTATGTGTAAAATGCCAGAATTCATATGATGCTGCTACAGCTGATATATATTTGTTGTCAAAATACCTTTTAGTACATATGTTGTTAAAATAAAATGAACAGTCCAATGATCATTTTACTGATGTGTATAAAGACTGCAAAGGCTGAAAAATCTTGAAGTTTGTATGAAATTGAAGGTAGTTTGAGGATTAAATTTTTTATTCTTTTTAAGCTCAAAAAAGGGGGGATCATATTATACATGAGATCGTATTATACATGAATAAATACGGTAGTTCAATTCTATACCACAATAAAGTGTTATGTTACCTTCAATTGTTTTGAAAATGTTGTTTATATCAAAACTAAATTTATCTTTGCTTCAAAACACTTTGAAATTGGCCTCCGTCAGACCCTCCTGCCATTTCCAACACTACCACTTCAGCACGTCTTCACACCACTGTGTTGGGGAAGGGGTGCTCTGTAGACAGGGAGGAGCTTTGTGTAAATAGGCAGGGCTTTGTACCAGCAAGCATGTAGGAAGCTCCAAATGGCTACCACATGAGATTCAAGGATTTTTCAGACATGAATTGAGTCAAAGCAACAGAAACATGCTTTTGATCATTATAACTAACACGATATAAAACTTAAAAAGTCAATTTGCATAATACCCCACCCCAAGCCCTCCCCCATTAAAGCTAACAATTAAACTCAAGAGGTCTGTTCATTCATACTTCTTAAGATGTTTTATCACGGGAACATGGTGACATACAGAGTAATGAATAAAGACAATTTTAAAAATAAGAATCTTAAATTCTTTGTTGTTTGAAGTAAGTTCAGAAGTCAAGTTCACAGATTTTAACCAAATTCAAAGAGAGAGGAGTTGCCGCATTAATGTTCTGTAGTGCAAGTTATTTAACTTGCAAATTACACCCACTACCCAGAMCTTTTATCTACTGATATTCCTAATGTTATTTGGTGTTACCCCAGTTTTCTAGCATGAATTTAAATTAACTGCCTAGAAAAAATTTGTATTTATTAGTTGATTTGAGTTGAATTAAACTCCTTACAATGCCAAGTTTAAATCAGCAGAACCTTTGAGAAACCCTTTGACATTCACGTCAACTTCCAGGTCAATGACTATTGAGCTTCAGTGATTAAGGGCCCCCTTCCAATAAGCATGAACAGACGTGTGTACCCACACACACTCGCACAGTTGCTAAAATTCATATTGCTTCTTTGTATTTGTTCAGCAGCTCAATATGAGGGCATTGTATAGCATTGATTGTCATTTTAATTTCATTTACCTAACATTGATTCACATTAGATATGTGTAGTTGTCATGCAAAGTTGGGTGAAATTCAATTTCAACTTGAACCCTTGCCCTAAACAGATGGAGCAACCGTTTGAAAGAAAAGAACATGGAGAGTTTTAATTAAGCATGTGTTTAATTTAAACTTCTACATGTAACAATCAAATGCAGATTACCTTTAGATKTAGGGTTTTTTAATATTTTTTGTCTGACTTTTTTGTGGTTTTTCTTTTCCCTTTACACTTCTTTAGGTTCCTTTCTTTGGGCCTCTATTTAATGGCGCCATTGTCACTGGAACACTGTTGCCAAGCTTGGTTCGAGCAACTTGTATCAATGCCAGCAGAGCTGTCAAGTCCCGGCTGACTCTCTACCAGAGCTTGTATCCTTTACACCTCCAAACATGTGCCTTGTTTATCCTTCTCTACCCCATGGAAAAACACTCCTTCAAAGGAACGCGACAATTTTAAAAGATCAGACACTGATAACKCTTAAGGCTGATAATCTGTAGATTATGAGCATACATCACATCACGTTTTTGTGATGATTCCAGCTGATATAAAACTTCACTCAGCCTAAATTTATAGCAAGGCCAAAAGCCCTTTGGGTAAATTCATTGAGACATGTGGYGCACACGTCATGTTAGCCTATGTACACAGCTGAGTGCTGACAGTGATCTTTATGAGCTACCTGATTTACATAAAACTATTAGGCTGGGGCTGTTTCACAGCCTGAAGCAAAATGGGAGGTTGTAGGGCTGTTTTGGGTTTGAACATAGATAATGTGTCATCATCTATCACTACCATTTTATGGAAGAAAAAGAGAGCCAAAATAAAAGCTCCATGAGCAAATACATGTAAGTGCACACACACACATTTACTTGCATCCCTCCACCCATCCAACAGTGTGCCGTTAAGAGCCTGACTCCAGCTGTAGTTGTCAGTTGGTTTAAAGAGAGTGTAATTACCAGTGGAGATGAATTAGCATGTGAATGCCAGCAGCATGGAGTTTGGGGCGGGGGGGATTTGGGGGGCAGAATCGGGATGGCCCCTTGAGGGAGAAACCTGATCTCCCTTAACGCCCAGCTCCTCCTCGGACAGCATGTACATCACCGCCACACCAGAACCACGCCRTCCCTCTGGCAGTTGCTATAGAAACCTCCCTCAAGGAGGCATCATGTAGACAGAAATGTGGGATCTGTTGGTTTAAAGAGATTGACGTTTTTCAAACTTGTTTTAAAAGTATTATTAAGTCGATTTCTCATACTCATACACTGGTGGCTTTTTGAAATCGCACCGCAGCGCACACTGCGTGGCYTGTGTGTAAGTATGCATCCATCTGTATGTGCTTCACAATGCATCACATTGGCCGCCCCACCCCACCCCTCCCAACCTAATACCAGGCTGTGTCTGTGTGTCCCTTGGGGCATCCTGAGTGACAGATGTCTGTTACCCAACGCCAAGTGAATTAGCCCAGTGTGACTCTCAGTGCCAGAGCTTTTTTTTTTTTTTTTTTTTTTTTGGGGGGGGGGGGGGTGCACGCCCTTCTTGCCTGTGTGAACCGTAGAGAGAGTGTGTTTGTTTGTGTGTGTGTGGGGGGGGGGGGGGGGGGTACTGGAGAGAGGCGTGAGGAACAGTCCTATGCTCGGCCACAAAGCTTCACCTGGCATTCCTTAGCAGAGCAGCAGCCAGCACAAAAACACGATCTATGGGGGAAGATAAGCGCTGCCTCCGGAGCTTTGGCACCATTATGCTTCCAGGCCTCCCTCACGCACTCCAAGCAAGGAGATGAGTGAGTGCGCCAGGCACAACATTTCGCCAGGATCAGTATCTGCGTGTCTGCTGTTAGTCTGAGTGCTGATCGGGGCAGCAGCATTGCTTCAAACCTATATGCAAAATGTTTGGTTTCATGTCAAAGTTAGAAATCATGGTTTTTGCTTGTTTAAATCTATGTTCGGATATGAACTTTACAGGAAATGTTGTCTTGGGTCACTCTTTTAGATGCTTTGATCATTGGATTTGTTGTTGCGTTACTGTTGCTTTTTGTGCTTTTCTGTCTCATGTCATTTTTTTGCCTCTTAGGATATGCACCTCTTTATTTTTCACWGGTTGGAACAATGACCCACCCTCTTTTTTTTCAAGGAAGTGTGTGTGTTTTTTTTTGTGTGTGTGCAAGATGAAAATCCTCATCCTTAGTTTACCCCCTTTACAATGCCTTAACAATCCAAAGCCCGCTCTCTGCCTGTGAGGCCACTCTCCAAGGTAATTAGAGAATATTTCTTCAAAGAGAAGCTATATGACCCCTGTGTGTCCAGATAAAAGGCCAGTGTGGCTCTGCAGCCCCCTCTCTCGCTCCATCACAAGGCTCGAGAGGACTCCAGCAGTCTGCTGCTACGCTCACAGAATCTCTCAAGCTAATAGGATTTGATATTGAAAAATATCCACAAGCAAAATTGTAGGAAAATACACACAGATGGGTAACAAGTATTTTTTCAGATGGATACTACCCCTTTATATATTTCCCCCTTTATGACCTAACCCTTTCTTCTCTGACTGATATGATAAATCTGAGCATTTAGAAATACTTTCTTGCATCATGTACAACCCTCTGAGTCACTTCGGGACACATATTTTGTCAGTTTCCTCTATCGGACCACAACATTGGCTTCATGCTATAAGACATCAGAAGCCTTTAACAAACAACTCATAATACATCATTTATTATTTATACATGCCTGATAGAAAACGCAGCTGCTCTGGAGTTGTGGTTCAAGCATTTTGTGCGCAACTTTTCTGATTTTCACAACAGCATTCTCAACTTATATGACCACTAAATTTCCAGTCCAAAATGCGTATATTTGAATTAATTTTTCTTTGTTTGTTTATTTTACGTATATTTGCATTGTTGAGTATCATTTTTTGATTATTTTGAATGTGTGTGTCCTTATACTGTCGAAATGTGTCACATATAGCTTGAAAGAAATGAGTTTTTGGTGTCACCTGAACCCAGACTGTCACGTGAAGCTTTTGCTGTCTGATTCTATTTACTGTATGAAGAACCTCCATCATACTGCCACTATGGAATAATGTCCTCATCCACAAGGTGGGATTTATTTATTTTCTTCAACAAGCACTTAAGTTTGATGTGCCCTCTATCACTTTTTGTGATAGGGCTATTGTTAAAGGTAAAATGGTTCTCTGTGTGTATGTGTGTGTTTGAGTGATGGCAAGTTACTAATAGGTGAGACAATGCAAAACTGACCTTGATTTAGAGACATAGCCTCCCTACTGGACAGAATCAATAGCTTTTGCACACTGCCCCTAGTCCCCATCCTTTCCTCTGACACACAAGTAAACACACACACACACACAGATCCATCTCCAGGCAGCGATCAATAACCATAATCTGTTTCTGCCCATCGCCAGTCATGCGAGCCAGGCTTTTAGGTGGTGTGTGTGTGTGTGTGTGTGTGTGTGTGTGTGTGTGTGTGTGTGTGTGTGTGCTGTTGCAGAAAGAGGAGAGGAAGCTTTGATTCTTTTCATTGGAACCCAGAAAGCTGTTGAAATCTGTCATGTTTCTCCTGCCTAAGCAAATCTGCTCTTCCCCAGATACATAGTTTTAAAAACGTAAAGAGAAAATTATGACGCAAATCACATCCCGAATGCACTCCTTTGTGTGTGTGGGGGGGAGGTGTTTTGGTGGCAATTGGGGGAAATTTTAAGACAAAATGTCTACATTTGGGGACAACTGGTGCATTTGGGGACAAAAGTCGAGTCCCCATTTGGTTTAAATGCCATTGGTGGGTTGGGAGTTTGCTTTAGGACCAAGGTGTGAATTGAGTTTAGGTTAGTTTTAGGGTCAGGTAGGTACCTGTGAGGTTAGCCTTAGGGTTTGTGGTCAGGGTTAGGCTGTAGAAATGTAATGGAAGTCAATGAAATGTCCCCAAATGGATAGCTGTGCAAACTTGTGTGTGTGTGTGTGTCGTCGCTGCTTCCCCAGACACTCATCATAATTAGTACGGTCTCTGCATTGATGGTGACATATTCTCACACCCCTTTGGAGCAAGTTATTGTCCCGTCCTCAGCCTGTCTTTTTCTAACTAGAACCTTTTCTTTTGTGTACTGTAAAATTCTTCACCTAGCAGAGATGAAAGTGCGCCTGTATGCATGATAGGGTGTCATGAATAGGATCTGCCATGTTAGTGTTGTCTCACATGAATTATTTAGCATCGTTGATAGGTCTAATTTGCCAGCTGTTGTGCCATAACTGTCAGCAGTCTCATAGATAATACTCAGCAGTCTATATCACTATGGAGAACAGTGCTTGACTGGGCACGGTGAGACACCAAGCAAGTCATTATATTCTGGATTCGTGGAGCTGATGTGAGTTTAACAAGCCAACTTCCTGCTCACTGGGACCAAGGCGAGCCAGCAGAAAGTAATTCTTAATGTACAGTACTATTTGTAGAGCACTCTCTTAGACTCTTCTGGATTTATTAGATAATGTATGCGTTATTGTTCTGTAAGTATGTAGGAGGAGGTGAAGTTGGGAGCTATTTCTACGTTGAAGTGTCCCTGCTTAAGAGTTGGCATGGTTAGTTTGGGCGGAGGCTGGCATTGGCTTTGATGGGGTGGTTGAGAGTTTATGCATTATTTGAGGGGCTACTAATAGGAGGGGTCTCTCTCTCTTTCCCCCTCTGAATGTTTTAACCTAATCCCATTATCAGTGTAGCGCACTGCCTCCCATCTCTTCCCCTCCTTATCCCTGCCCCCCTCCCACCCCTCTCTCCAGCTGACCAGCTGTTCCTGCCGGGACTCACGACAATGTCCAATGTGTTCAGATCACTGGGTACCCCCACCACCACCACCACCACTCTCCCACTTTGCTTCCAATGCGCACACACACACATGCACACAGACGAACAGAGCGCAGACCATGCACAACCAAAGCAATTGCCAAACCCATTGCTGGAGCGTAGAAAGGCCTAGAAGGAGGAGGGTGTTAGTTAGGGTTGAGGGGGGTAGCTTTGGGTGTGTGGAGGGGGCAAGCACAGGCCTGTCAAACCAAGAGCCCTGACTCAGGAGGCAGCCCAGCTCGGATGGCATATGGTGTCTAGCTTCATACAACATGCAAAAGTATTCTCCCCCCCTCCTTCTCCCCCCTCTCCCTGTCTCCCTCTCCTGCTGCTAATGCAAAATGACTCATAGCATTACTCTTTTTTTGGCCCCCTCCACCTCTCTGCAWTAGTTCCTCCTCCTCTTGCCACCCAGCCTCTAACAAAAGGCGTCCACTGCATGGCACCCACACCCTGAAAAGCCCTGGAGGCCCAGCCCAGCCTGCACTCTGGGGTCTGAGCTTCACGGGGCCCGCCCCCTTTAAACA